CCGGGACGGGTAGGCCGGTGCGTCCGGTTTGCCGCACCCTCGGGTCTCACACACGCCCGGGGGGCGCGTTGTGCCCGCTTTCCCCCCCCCCGCCACTTGTCGTGCATGGCTCCAGAAGACTGGGCGCTTTTGAGGTGGCCTGTGTTAAGTCGGGCCTGTCCCTCTACAGGGGGAGTATCGAACAAATTGTATAACAATAGTCTGGAGACTATTTTTTGAACATTTTGGGGCCATTTGGGAATATTTTCTGAACGCTGCTGATTTTTCGTCGAAGATCCCCCTGTAGGGGGACAGGCCCGACTTAAGGCTTGTGGCGGCGCGCACGAGGAGGTGTTGCGATAGGGGGGGGGCCTTATAAGAACCGGCGGCGAGCGAGGGGGGGAAGTGAGAAAAGGAAGGCCTTCTCAGAAGGTTCGGAAGTCCCCCGGCCTTCTGAGAAGTTTTCTAAGCCTTCCCCGAACACAGAAAAACCTCTCTGAAGGCGCCAGGGCGTCTGAGAAGTCCCGCCGACTTCTGAGAAGGCCTTGTCTTTCTCACTTCCCCCCCTCGCTCGCAGCCGCAAGAAGGCAGGGGGTGATTCCTAGAAGGTGGGGGGGGGTCCGAGGAGGCCCTGGGGGCTTCTCGAAAGCCTTCTTCGAAGCCTCCAGAGCCTTCTGGTACGGTGAGGCATTGACTCAGGAATGTGCCCAGGAGGCTGCGGACCCTGGAGGCTTCCTTATCTGATGAGGGCGGCGGCGATATCCATGGCAAAGCCTGGAGTGGAGTTCCACAAGCCTCCAAATTGTTAAGGTCCAGTAAAGCGACCGGCGTGCTGACCCCCCCCCCTTCGCGACAGGAGGTGCGTCGCGCATTCGTCGCCCGTGCGCCGCCCGTGCGTCGGCCGCCGAAAAGGCCAGCCGTCCTCTCGAACGTGCACGTCGCCCTCGTGCACGTCGCCCTCGTCGTCTTGAACGTGCTGAACCCTTGATTCCTTATCCACGGGTTCCTTATCCAATGCCCCCACTGGGAAGGCCTTGCCTTCTCAGCGGCATCCCTGCCATTCGTGGGAGGCCGCCCCACTCACGGCCAACCTCCTTTTGGGCGCGCCGCCAGGGCCCTCCTCTGCCGCCGATCCTCCAGACTGGTGGGCCTGCTTTCCACCGCCACCACCATCAGTAGGAGGGGGAGGGGGTCCTCCCCCTCCTCCTCCTCACCCCTTCTCCTCCTTGGGTCCTTGGGTCCTTGGCGCACCACGTCCCGCCGATGCAACACGTGGCACAAAAAAGGGGGGTAATAAACGCACGGCACTTAGAGGGGTCTCTCTCTCTTGAGGGGGAACGATCGGCCGAATTCCGCACCTGAGGAAGGGTCGATCCCGCCTTTGAGGAGACTCAAAGAATGAGCCGCGTCCTTGTTCCGAGGCCCGCCGTTGCAGGCCTTGGCGAGGAGGACCACCTTCTTAGTGCCGAACGCCCCACAGACACAGCACCACACTCGGCCTCCTTCACCGCTCCAAAGTCTGTGGGAGGGGTGAGCCACGCGAGCGGGCCTGGGGAGCCCCGAACAAGGGAACGCAGTAATCGCATTCCTCGACCAGTCTCGAATTCCACAACACACGCAAGCGGATCTCTTGCCCACCCGCACTACCTCGTGCCCGTTGGGATCAGACACGACTTCCAAAACCTCTGGAGCTTTATACCGCTTGGCGCGGAACTTATCTGCATCCTTGAAATTAAGCTTGGATAACGCTCCCCCGACGCCCGCGATCAACACAGAGCGGCCCCGAACCTGGAAATCGAGGGCTTTCAGCTCCGTGCGCAGCTGCGGGGGGACAGGATGCATCTGAGCTCCCAGTCGGGCCAGGCGGTCTGCTTCTCGGTTGCCTCTCCAAGCCCACCAGGCACAGCCTTGAGCGGACGCCTTGGCCCAGGACTGGTGGCTCCGAATTTTTTCCACCGTGATCGGCGCGGTGATATCTTCACTCTTGCGGAAAATCTCGCGCCAGACCTCTGAGTACGCAATGTTATCTAGGTTCTGGCCACTGCCAGCTTCCCAGATATCCACTACCATCTTACAGTCACAAACAACCTGCACAGGCTCCACCCCGATATTCTGGATGAGCATAAGCAGAGCGTACACTTCGGCACACCCCGACTGCTGGACGGGGTGGGGCAGGGGCCCGTATAGGGCCCCAACCCAATCCCCATGGCGGTCGACTTGGACTATCCCCCAGCCCGCTCTCTCCAGAGCGAGGTCACCTGGGGAGAAGGCCGAGCCGTCGATCGCCACATTGCCTCGGAAGACGCCGTTGGGGGGGAGAACATTCCAAACCTGAGCAGCATCCTGACGGGGGGGAGGGGCCTCGAAAGCCAGGCTGGGGACAAGGCATCTGGCGGTGCCGATGTCGTAAGGCGAAGCCTCTTCGAAGTCGGCGATTGCTTCAGGCACGTCCAGCTCCCTACGGGTCCACCACGTCGCAGGGCAGCCTACAATCCTGTGCTGGGGCGTGCCGAGGGCGCCG